TGCCCCAAATGAAGACGTAGCTGCACTAACCGCCGAGATTGCACGGGTAAGAGCCGAGAATGAAGCTCTGGAATGCGAGACAGAGGTGGCCCGCCTGAAAGCCAAATTAGTCATCCTCCAACAACGGAATGCACAACTACAAAAGCAGAAACAGCCAAGCTCAAATCCTACCATCAAGACCCTTCGCACCAATCTGGCTCTTACTGCACGCCTGTCTGAAGAATTGGGGCACCTAGGCTTTTCTTCTAGTGGTTCGGATGAGGAGGAGAATCCACCCACTTGTGGCTCTCGAGGTAAGCCGCGTTTGAAGTCAGGAAAGACTACCAAATTAACTAGTCGGGTGGTATTTACCCAACTATGGCCTCACAGCCAGTTAAGCCTAGCTTACGTGTCCAAGGACAAAGGCTATGATGAGCTCACCATCGCGGAGTTTTCTGCAGGTTACACCTCTATTCTAAAGTTGCCTTCAATCTCGGACTCGGAAAGGAACGCTCGACTCGATCACTTCATTCGTTTAATGTACCTCCTTATGCAATTCACCTGGTTGGCTGTTCGTGAGTTTCACGCCACAGTGCTCTTGGAAATCGAATGCTGTCGTGCACAGTGGGGTGATTCCTTTTCTGACTTAGAAACTCATCTTTTCCGAAAATCTTAAAGGTCGACGGAGACTGTGCACGCGAGTCGTTTGGGGGCACCAGTCTTGTTTTGTCAGGATTTTCAGCATGGGAAATGTGGGCACTCAAAGTATCACTACGGCACAATTCGGAATGAGACCAAGTGGCTTCAGCACAATTGTGCAAAATGTTGGGCAGTTTCTTGTGTGATCGCCAAACATTCGGAGTATTCTGCTGATTGTCCTACAAAGAACGTTGTTTCGGGGCTCGCCTGAGATCAACCATCTTATGTCACACTGCCTTCTTGACTCGCAACCTTTTGTTCTCAAGTTGCGACCTTGGCTGGACTCTAGATTTTCCTCTCTAGACTTCGATCGGTTACACGTTTCTCTACCTTTGCTAGACTCTAGATTTGTAGTACTCCAGACTGTAATTCGTCGTTCGACTCTAGACTTTCCGCTTGTAACTCAGAACTTATCGAGACATCTCTAATTCATGGGTTTTTCTGTACATTTGCAGCATCGTGTTCTTGCGTTTGGTCAGTACAACTTTTTGGGCGCCCGTTTACCAGTTCCTTCTTCACTTAATTTACCACTTTGGCGATCAAAACTTCGAGGTTATGATGATTACGTGGCTTGCGATTTTCTTGAATTCGGTTGGCCCGTTGGTTTGAATTATGCAAGTTCCCTTTCCACAGATCAGTTTTCTCGTAACCACAAGGGTGCTACGGATTTCCCTTCCGCAGTGGATTCCTATCTCTCACTTGAACTCGAACGTGGTGCTGTTATCGGCCCGTTTTCTAGCAATCCTTTTTCGCGTCCGATCGTGATTTCGCCGTTAAATTCTGTTCCGAAACCACAGTCTTTCGAGCGGCAGATGATCTTGAATCTCAATCGATCAATCGATCCATTTGATTACCCTTTGTTAGGATATCAATGGAACGGTGATTTTTATTTTGATGTTGTTTTGCCTATGGTCCTCAAGACTGCTGCTATGGCATGTCAACGTTCCACTTCTGCTGTATGTCATATGCTCTCACAGGATGGATGTTTTGTGGTCAATGACCTCAATGATTTTATTGGCATTTCTTCGCCCGACAAAGCCTTCCGTGACTATGATACCTTTGGTTTACTTTTACGTGATTTAGGATTGCAAGAATCTCCTTCGAAGGCTTGTCCGCCGTCTTCGGTAATTACTTGTTTGGGTGTCGAAGTCAATTCTCTTGCTTTAACTCTCTCGGTGACCCCAGAACAGCTGCAAGAACTCGAGACTTTGTTGCTTCAATGGACCACCCGGCGATCGGCTACGAAATCCGAATTGCAATCATTAGTCGGAAAGCTGTTATTTGTTACCAAGTGTGTTTGAGAAAGTCCTTTGTTTTTGTCCCGTATTCTTGCGCTTCTGCGACCGCTGAAGCACAATCATCACACTAAACTTTCTAAGGAATTTCACGTGGATATTCGCTGGTGGTTACATTTCCTCCGGACTTACAATGGTGTCTCAGTTATTCCTTTGTCACTCTGGTCGACTCCTGATGGCATTTTTAGTACGGATGCTTGTTTAACTGGCTGTGGAGGACTGACATCTTCGCAATTTTTTCGTCTGTGATACTTGTTCAGTTTCCCTCCATTCATCACTTGGAGGCCCTGGCCATCCTTGTTGCCTGCCATTCGTGGGGTTCGTCTTGGTGGGGCTTGCGTATTATCGTCCAGTGTAATAACGAAGCGGTGGTTAGCTCTCTTAATTCTGGTTGTGTGCAAGACTCTGTTAGGCGTTTGTTTGCGTGCTATTTGGTTTGAGGCCGCCTCACACGAATTTGAGTTACGCGCGACTCATTTGCCTAGTTCTGTGAATCTGGCTGATTGATTGTCTCGTTGGCATGTGCATTCTTCTTTTAACACTCAATTTCTCGCCGCACCTGGAACTGTGAATTTCCAAGAAATTGTTGTGCATCCTTCCATATTTTCCTTGTCTGATGATATCTAATTTCCTTTCTACAGACCTGGTTTTGTCCAAGCTATCTTGGGATATCAAGAAAACGTGCAAGGCTGCCTATGCCGCAGGAACTCAAAAGAACCATCGCACTCAATGGCGATCATATTTGTACTTTTGTTTACATTTTGATTTAGTCTTTTTACCCGCTTCTATTTGTACTATTAGCTTATATTGTCAATGTTTAAGCCATTCCATGACTCCACCTTCCATTCGTAAGAAATAAGCGTTGACAGGCCAAACACGACTCATAAGCTCGTGATAATGTGAAACATGACCTTGAGAGTCTGCTTGAACAGTGGTTCTCTTTCTTTTTTCTCTCGCGCGAAGGTTACTAGCACTACACAGTGCAAGACGTGTACCATTCTAAACTTTGACTGAGTAAATCTTGTTTTTGCCGCACTAAGTCTTATATTTAGAGGTCATGAAGCAGGTTTGTTACATGCATACTGAGTAATCATTTCCTGTGGTTTATGCTTCTGTACTAGGTGTCCCTGACAGGATTTGATTTCAGATGCAGTTGTTAAAAGGGGTTGAAAGGCTAACCACGACTCCCGCTGTTTCGTGATGTAATAGGTCTTTGACCTTTAGAGTTTAGCTCTAACAAGTATGTCTTTTAGCGATTTTCCTCCCCTGTAGGAGATGAGAGGTGGTTCTCTGTATATTTCTCTCAGCATTGGTTGGTTTTCGATTAAATGCCACTTGCTCATTAAAATATTTTTAAGGTTAGGCACTGATGGATTGTACTGTGTGACAAAAGGCATTAATCCGTTTTTCACTTTTTGTTGAAGTGCCGACTTTCTATCTGTAAATTTGACCTCTGCAAGAAATAAGCATTGACAGGCCAAACACGACTCATAAGCTCGTGATAATGTGAAATGTGACCTTGAGAGTCTGCTTGAACAGTGGTTCTCTTTCTTTTTTCTCTCGCGCGAAGGTTACTAGCACTACACAGTGCAAGACGTGTACCATTCTAAACTTTCACTGAGTAAGTCTCGTTTTTGCCACACTAAGTCTTATATTTAGAGGTCATGAAGCAGGTTTGTTACATGCATACTGAGTAATCATTTCCTGTGGTTTATGCTTCTGTACTAGGTGTCCCTGACAGGATTTGATTTCAGATGCAGTTGTTAAGTGTTTTATATCCCTTGACCTCTGTTTATTACGGCGGAATAAAGATTTTAGTTTTTTTGGTTTTCTCTGAAATGACTGTATCTGAATAAATACATGCATGCATGCAAGTTTCTTTGTCCGTGAATGTGATTATTTCCTGCCATGTCAGTATGACTCTGGGCCCAGCTCTATAGTAAAGGGTGGTTTGCAGGATTTAGAATTTCCACGGATAGTGCGATCTTCAGATTTGAGTTGTACACTGTAGCTTAAAAACTAAAGCTACACCAAGTCTGGAGAAATATGCCGTGCGTCAGTCAAGATAATTCTCTTAGCGCTCACACAGTCCATTTAGTTTTTCTTAACATAAGTGAGTTAAAAGGGGTTGACAGGCTAAACACGACTCCCGCTGTTTCGTGATGTAATAGGCCTTTGACCTTTAGAGTTTAGCTCTAACAAGTATGTCTTTTAGAGATTTTCCTGTCCTGTAGGAGATGAGAGGTGGTTCTCTGTATATTTCTCTCAGCATTGGTTGGTTTTCGATTAAATGCCAAGCTCAAACAATTGGAGCAAAGACCAAACGTAACCAGAGGAAAGAAAACGAACAATCCTGATCAAATTAAGAACCAGCCATGACCGGAAAAAGAAAACTGCACTGAGAATGCACTAGTTTTAGCTACAGAGCTAACAAACAAAATCAAGAAAGTGGAAGAAATGATGAAAGCTTTACAAAATAAAGAAAGTGAATCTTATCCCTGTGTATTTACTGACTCTTCAGTCAAAGGGAGGGAGAAAGAAAAACGAAAAATCAGAAATGAAAAAAACCACTCGTGAAGAAGCAATAGGAGGCGAGACACAAACAGGATAAACACTCAGTTTAACCAAAGATACATTAAAAATCTCTCAAATTGCAAAATGACAACTGATCAGATCAACTTACCATCAAAGGGGTTGAATTTTATCCAAACACCGGTTCTAGAAGAGAATCGCATCCGGCAACAATTGCTGCTAGACTTTAAACAGTTTGCGAGGCGAATGCGCCTCCAATATATTTTCCACAACAAAGAGAGTGAACAACACCCCTTTCACGTTAAATCAAACTGCGAACCTCCAGTTCAACAATCAGTTGCGCTAGAAACTTATTTAGATGAAGTTAAAGTTCAACTCGCTGAGATTGAACTAATTAAGCCATGAAATAACTTGCCTTTCAAAGAGCGTAAAGCGCTTAGAGAATTGAGATCAAACTCAGAAATAATCATAAAAAAGGCAGACAAGGGCACAACAATGGTCATCATGAACAAAACAGATAAAATACAAGAGGGCCAAGTTCAGCTTGATGATAGAAAAAACTACATGCCCCTCGAAACACCAATGGTCCAAGAAACCTCTCGAAGAGTAGAAGAGATAATCAATGATCTCCACCAGGGAAATCATATAGACGCAATGACCAAGAAGTGGCTTTCTCAAACACCTAGCCCACCGCGTATATTATTTTTTTACACTCTAGCAAAGATTCACAAACCAGTTTTAACTGGTAGACCTATAATTTCGGGCTGCGATGGCCCAACAGAATGTATATCATCATTTTTAGACCACATCCTACAGCCTATCGCTAAGGTACAAAAATCCTACCTCAAAGATACCACACAGTTTATCAACTTTATAGAAAAGAGGAAAGTTCCAAACAACGCGATCCTAGTTTCAATGGATGTTACCAGCCTGTGCACCAATATTCCTCAAGAAGAAGGAATAAACACTGTATGCAAAGCATATGAAGCCTCCTATAAGAACGACACACCCATTCCCACAAATTCACTCAGAGGCTTGCTTAGACTTATACTACAGGAGAACTCCTTCCAGTTCAATGGAAGCAACTATCTCCAGACTCATGGTACCGCAATGGGAACAAAAGTGGCAGTTGCTTTTGCCAACATCTTTATGTCCGCGGTAGAAACAGAAATTATCAATAAAAGCAAGAGACAACCCCTCGAGTGGAAAAGATACATCGATGACGTGTTCTCTCTGTGGGATACAAACAGAGAGGAAATAGACTAATTCATTTTAGAAGCAAACAGGCACCATCCTAACATAAAATTCACGGCTGAAATATCAGAAGAGAAAACAAACTTCCTACACACTACTATCTTTAAAGGCGAGAGATTCTACAAAGATTCAACCTTTGATATCCGTACGCACTTTAAACCGACTGAGACATTTCAATACACGCATTTTTCCTCCTGTCACACTCCAGACGTGAAAAATGGATTTATCAAAGGCGAAGCCCTTAGGCTTCTAAGAACCAACTCTTCAAAGGCAACATTTGAAGAAAACGTTAAAAATTTCAGATCACACTTGCGTGTCCGAGGCTATCCAGATAATCTGGTAAACAAAGTCCTCGCAGAGGTCAAATTTACAGATAGAAAGTAGGCACTTCAACAAAAACCGAAAAGAGTGAGAAACGGATTAATGCCTTTTGTCACACAGTACAATCCATCAATGTCTAACCTTAAAAATATTTTAATGAGCAAGTGGCATTTAATCGAAAACCAACCAATGCTGAGAGAAATTTACAGAGAACCACCTCTCATCTCCTACAGGAGAGGAAAATCTCTAAAAGACATACTTGTTAGAGCTAAACTCTAAAGGTCAAAGACCTATTACATCACGAAACAGCGGGAGTTGTTTTTAGCCTGTCAACCCCTTTTAACTCACTTATGTGAAGAAAAACTAAATGGACTGTGTGAGCGCTAAGAGAATTACCTTGACTGACGCACGGCATGTTTCTCCAGACTTGGTGTAGCTTTAGTTTTTAAGCTACAGTGTACAACTCAAATCTGACCCCTTTAACCTCAAAAGAACCATCGCACTCAATGGCGATCATATTTGTACTTTTGTTTACATTTTGATTTAGTCTTTTTACCCGCTTCTATTTGTACTATTAGCTTATATTGTCAATGTTTAAGCCATTCCATGACTCCACCTTCCATTCGTAATTATCTCAGTGGGGTTCAGTTTCTTCATGTTACTTTAGGGTATCCCTTTCCAGACCTCAGCACGCATGAAATTCAGGTCACCTTGCGGGGCATTGACAGCCTAGCTCAACATTGCCCACTCAGTGCCCTCCCATTACATCCCATTTGTTAGGTGTTCTCGTCAACTTTGGTTTCCATCTCGACCCAGTTGATGTCACCTTTTCTTGTGCATTTGTGTTTGCCTTTTTCCTTTTCGCACGCATTTCTAATTTGGTTCCAGACTCTCGCGTGTCATATTGATGATTATCATTGCCTTCGTCGGGGGGACATCGAACCTTCTCATAATGGGTTGTGTGTTAAGTTCTCGTGGTCCAAGACTAATCAATTTGTTTTAGAACTACCACTTCTTAGTATCCCCAATTCACCCCTTTGCCCTGTCCGGCTATTTTATCTCATGTGTGAGATAGTTCCTGTTTCTAGTCAATCACCACTGTTTGTATATCGTTCTCGTTCAGGAATTGTTAAACCCATTCTCAAACGCCAGTTTGTTTCAGTTTTACGTGCTCGTTTAGGGGCTGCCAAGGTGGCTCAGTCTCACCTTTTTCGTGGTCATTCTTTTCGTGGAGGGGGTACCTCATGGGTTTTCTTGGCTGGACTCCCTGGGGAGCTTATTCAAATATTTGGTGACTGGCATTCGGATGCTTATGTTATTTAGACATTTCTATGGCCCTCAAGCTTCAGGTTCCCAAGGGGATGGTTCTCTCCCTTAGCTCTTTCTCTTCCACGTACACCAATTGTCTGGCCCATTTTTGGCGGCGGAGAGGTTATTGTTCTCATTGGGCAGCCACCCCTGGCTGCGTTTCGGGGGTGGTAGTTGTTTGATTTCAATAAACCGTCTCTCTGTGCCAAACAGTTTGTCTCCGTGTCTTTTCTGATGTAGTTTAGCTACAGATTGATTTTGTAGGGAAATTCTTTTGTTTTAGAAGGCCTTTCAGTACAGTTAATTTCCCGATCGCTACTGGCGCCTTTTCGCTTTCGTGTTTGTTAGCTCAAGTTACACTTTAGTATATGCGTCTACTGTCAGCGTTGCTTATTACACTCTCGTGCTTAGGTCTGACTTATAGCGATAGTTTTAGCTTTCCCCCCTTCCCACCCTAGTTTCGGTGGGCGGAAATATAAATAAATATTTGTCCCTATGTCCTTGGTGCCATATAAATGAAGATTCGTAATGTTACACTCAATCCATGCCTAAATAAACAATCATTGCATTTCACCTTTCCATTAAAACATATATATGTTCACTTTTAACTGTAAAGGGCGAGATAAGTTTATAAATAAAAAGTTCCAGTCATACGGTCCCATCCCGCATCTGCTTTAAATGAACGCCACAAAATAAAATTCATGCAACAGTATAAACACAAGTTCTTTCAGCTTTGAACTTCTAAAATACTCTTCCATTCACAAGCAATAGCAGATTCCTTTGGCATGGAGTTCTACATTATTAAACGAACCAAATCCGCATTCAAACACAACCTGTTCTGGTCTGCATTCTTTTTAGAACATCCAAATTGATCTTGATTGATAGTGTCAACTTTAGGCCGCTGATTGGCTAAGGAAAGATGTTCATTTCATCTAAGGGAGGGCTTTTTTTAAAACAAGGAACGGGGAATTGGGGAATGGGAATGGGGAACAGGGAATCTTTAACACGGGGAATCTTTAAAACAGGGAATCTTTAAAACGGGGAATCTTTAAAATGGGGAATCTTTAAAACGGGGACTCTTAAAAAGCGGGAATCTTTAAAACGAGGAATCTTTAAAAGCAGGAATCTTTTGCACACGCTGTTATAATCGGGGATGATTCTATAAACCCTTACGTTTGCTGATTAACAGGCTGGTGTGAAATCAATTCTCGCACATTTCCAAGTTCTTGGCTGAATGATTTTGAAAGCGTTGGTGTTGAAAAAGTTTGCATTTGACAAAGGTAGTAGTCTGTTTCAGCCAATCAGTTGAATGAACTCAGAACCCGCGCGCTGTCAAAAGTTGCTGTTGTACTCATGTTTTTCGGGTCTATTATTACTATACAAATTAAAATGCAATTATTTTTTAAAAAAAGCACATGACATCCCAGCCAATATAATAATCATTAAAGGTCTGATAATAGTTTTTCATGGTCTCCTGACCCATGCTGGGTTTTAATTTTAATTTTCCGACAAGCGGCTGCGTCACTTTTTTATTTGAGCTTCCCCCGGCATACGTCCTTCAATATTGAGCGATCCATCCTAAAATTAATCTGCAATTTACACTCCGAAGTGAGAAAACTGAATTTCTTGTTATATATTGTCTCTAAATTAAAAGGGCTTTTTGCGAAACTTTTGCAAAAAAATTGATTGCTCAATTTTTCTTGGCGGTCGCTCTTAAAAAGACTGTGGTTACCCCCGCTCAGCTACTACAATTTGTAGCTCATTCATCTATAACCTTTGATCCGGTTTACCTTAAAAAAAGAATCAAACAGAACCGCCGGTTAAGACAAACTTAAAGCAAGGGGCACACATACACCAACTCACGGCCTGGATAATACCTCACGCATGCGCACAGCAATATCACCTGGGCAGTGACAGCCATGGACAGCAGTTTTGCCCTCATTGGGGCTCATCAGCATGGCATAGCCGTCGGGTTCATGAACGGGGAAAATCCCCGTGTATCAAAGACTGCCGAGGCGAGTGCAAAGCACTCCTGTAAGCGCCCATAGGTCCACACAACACGTGGGAACTGGGAACTGCACGGCACTTCTCCCACGGCATGCGTGGGGATGGCGGATCAGGAATTACCCTGATCTGTGTGCCACTTATTATTATTATTTTTTGTGCCGCATTTTTGCGCGAACATTCGTATATTTGTAGCCGCTACGGTTTTACCTCTTTCTATGCTATGTGGTCTCCTGGAAGTGCCTTTGAAATCATTCGCTTTGAAGGCCTTCCACAATTTAAATGGAGTGATCTAGGGAAACGGGATGTGGTTGGACAAGGCTCATTCAGAGCGGTTTTTATGGTTTTCGATAGTAGTGGTTAAAAACCCAAAACTGGATTTATCTTTGGGACAATTTAATGTAGAACAAGGAAAACAACATATATTGCTGCTGTTATTGAAGGTCTCCCGAAACATATATTACGGTATGTCATTATTACATTCATGTTATATTTTTTACATGTTATAGATGATATTTGAAATAATATTTATGGCGTCGTTGTTTCAAATTTGTAATTCACTTACCTTCATGTTGTCGTGGTTTTAAAATTCCCCGGGGTATAAATCCTTCATAAAATGGGTTTTCTCGAATTCAAGAAAATGTGCTAATGGTGTATAGCTGGAATATTTGGCTTCGAATGATTAATAAAGCTGAGATAAGTCCAACTTAACAAACAGTGTCCTTTTGTTCTAAATATCAAACGATTCTGGCTTTTAAAGATTCCGGCTTTTAAAGATTCCCGCTTTTAAAGATTCCGTTTCTCGAAAGGCCCGATAATTAACGGGCCTGGTAAGCTGCCTTCCATTACAGTGAAGACATTAAAGATCGAGGTTCAATAGTTTTGCATCTACCATGATAAACGATAAAACTATCAGTCAATGAAACAAAAAAGTTACTGGGACTTTCGAGAAACGGGCTCCAGAAAACTTTCCGAAAATTTTCAGTTGCCTTGTATATTTTCTCTAAAGTTGACCTGTATATAGCACTCAATATAATAATTTTCACATTTTTATTTCATTACAGACTGTAATAAAGCACGTTTCAAAAACATTCAAGAACAAAAATTCACGTTTAAGTACTTTATTAAGAGAGTTCCATTTCTACTAATACAAATAAGAAAAACTGTTGCACATCTCAAGAATTCAAAGTTAACATTTCTATTCTAATATGGTATTTCACTTGAAGATACAGAAGTAAACAATGGATAAAGGTACACATAGTATAATTTATCACCACAGAATCTGCAAACATATTTGCATAGAGGTTAACATGTTATATATGAAATTTTGGGCTCATGGCTCGTGTACGACGACCTGACTGACGTCATTAATAACGTAATAGCAAATAGCAGATAGGCTCATGGCTCGTGTACGACGACCTGACTGACGTCATTAATAACGTAATAGCAAATGGCTAGCAGCAAAAGGAACAGTAGGAACAGTAGGAACAGTAGGAACAGAGGAACAGTAGGAACAGTAGGAACAGTAGGAACAGAGGAACAGTAGGAACAGAGGAACAGAGGAACAGAGGAACAGTAGGGACAGAGGAACAGAGGAACAGAGGAACAGTAGGAACAGTAGGAACAGTAGGAACAGTAGGAACAGTAGGAAAAGACGAACAGTAGGAACAGAGGAACAGTAGGAACAGTAGGAACAGTAGGAACAGAGGAACAGTAGGAACAGTAGGAACAGAGGAACAGTAAGAACAGTAGGAACAGAGGAACAGTAGGAACGGAGGAACAGTAGGAACAGTAGGAACAGTAGGAACAGTAGGAACAGTAGGAACGGAGGAACAGTAGGAACAGTAGGAATTAAGTAGGAATAATTAATAACGTAATAGCAAATGGCTAGTAGCAAAAGGAACAGTAGGGGAACATTAGGAACAGTAGGATCAGACGAACAGTAGGATCAGAGTAACAGTAGGAATTAAGTAGGAACAGAGGAACAGTAGGAACAGTAGGAACAGTAGGAACGGAGGAACAGTAGGAACAGTAGGAACGGAGGAACAGTAAGAACAGAGGAACAGTAGGAACAGTAGGAACAGAGGAACAGGAGGAACAGTAGGAACAGTAGGAACAGTAGGAACAGAGGAACAGTAGGAACAGTAGGAACGGAGGAACAGTAGGAACAGAGGAACAGTAGGAACAGAGGAACAGAGGAACAGAGGAACAGTAGGGACAGAGAAACAGAGGAACAGAGGAACAGTAGGAACAGTAGGAACAGTAGGAACAGTAGGAACAGTAGGAAAAGACGAACAGTAGGAACAGAGGAACAGTAGGAACAGTAGGAACAGTAGGAACAGAGGAACAGTAGGAACAGTAGGAACAGAGGAACAGTAAGAACAGTAGGAACAGAGGAACAGTAGGAACGGAGGAACAGTAGGAACAGTAGGAACAGTAGGAACAGTAGGAACAGTAGGAACGGAGGAACAGTAGGAACAGTAGGAATTAAGTAGGAATAATTAATAACGTAATAGCAAATGGCTAGTAGCAAAAGGAACAGTAGGGGAACATTAGGAACAGTAGGATCAGACGAACAGTAGGATCAGAGTAACAGTAGGAATTAAGTAGGAACAGAGGAACAGTAGGAACAGTAGGAACAGTAGGAACGGAGGAACAGTAGGAACAGTAGGAACGGAGGAACAGTAAGAACAGAGGAACAGTAGGAACAGTAGGAACAGAGGAACAGTAGGAACAGTAGGAACAGTAGGAACAGAGGAACAGTAGGAACAGTAGGAACGGAGGAACAGTAGGAACAGAGGAACAGTAGGAACAGAGGAACAGAGGAACAGAGGAACAGTAGGAACAGAGGAACAGAGGAACAGTAGGAACAGTAGGAACAGTAGGAACAGTAGGAACAGAGGAACAGTAGGAACAGTAGGAAAAGAGGAACAGTAAGAACAGTAGGAACAGAGGAACAGTAGGAACGGAGGAACAGAAGGAACAGTAGGAACAGTAGGAACAGTAGGAACAGTAGGAACGGAGGAACAGTAGGAACAGTAGGAATTAAGTAGGAAGAGAGGAACAGTAGGAACAGTAGGAACAGTAGGAACAGAGGAACAGAGGAACAGTAGGAACAGAGGAACAGTAGGATCAGAGGAACAGTAGGAACAGAGGAACAGTAGGAATTAAGTAGGAACAGTAAGAACAGAGGAACAGAGGAATAGAAGTAATAGAGGTACAGTAGGAAAAGTAGGAAATGCGGCTAACAAACGCGATTTAAAGTGTACAACTTTAACGAGCGGAATATTTTTGTATTTTTATTCTTAAGATGCATTAAATAAACTTATTATTTAAAAACTTATTACTATCATTTTAATACGGCGTTATTCCTCTTTATAATCCCTCAAATATTTTCGCTTGCGTTCGAATGGTCAAAATACGTCGCACTATAGAGTCCTATATGCCCCAATTAAAATTTGGGAAATCCCCAGTGTTCAAACAAGATTCGCTTCGTTGGGTGTAAGAACGTTTTGCTGTCTTAACAGCGAAAACACACTAAAACGTCAATATCCCACGTACAAAATATTTTGACCGCGATAAGCTTTTCGTGACAAGATTGAAAATAAGGTGGTTCTTGCCTTTCGCTTGGTTTTGTGACATGTTTGCAAAAGTTGATTTTAGAATTTAACTTTTGTTCATGACGAAAAGCTAAAATATTACCTCAGTTAAAAGTAAAAGCAAGAAACATTACGATTTCTATCGGCTTCGTGAAAAGACTAAAAGCCATAAAAAAGCCATTATGTAACTTTCACAAACAGCGGCTTTTAAGCGAAAATGTTTGAAGGATTGAAGCACAATAAACTTTAATTTATTTGGCTTCAAAAATATGCAAGTATAATTATCCTTGGACATTATTAGATAAAGTAATCAATTTCAAAAGCATTCATTTCAAATATGAGTGTGAAATTTTGACATTTCTCTTGTATTATTGATTATCCAGATAAATTTCAGAATAGTTCGATTCTCTTTTCAGAATGTACTCTATGAATTAGTCTTAACACGCAGTGCATTTTTACTCTTTATATAAGCATGTTTGTAATCTCACGCTATCCAATCCTGAATAAAATAAACACCGGCATCGCCAACATTAAAACATTAACAATTATAACTAAGTCGCGTTTTTTAGCAAAATATCTTCTCGTAGTAATACAGTACAGTCTAAAGTAATGATTTCGTTCCAAGAGTCGCTTTTTTTTTTTCTTTTTCTGCACCAAGAAAACAAGAATTTATGACTATTTTAATAAAAAAATAATATAAAATTTTGACACTATTTTCCTTATTTCGGGTAAACAGTATTCTTTTAAATCCGAGAACTGAACGGAATAGGTCCCAACGTAACACCATCACCGTCTATTCCATGTTTTCTTTAATCAGGAATCAGCCAGAATACCAAACAAGTTTGTCCACATTTGATTGGCTCTCATTTTTTAAACTGCTTCCGTGCAGCAGGAATTGGTGCGCCGTGAAATCCAGCAATGGCTGAAAAACTCAGAAAAAACTTATTTCAATGACCAATGGGAATGAGGCCTTGAGTACGAGATTGCCTGTCAAGTAAAATACATCATTCTGTTATCTCTTAGCGCAAATACGATTTAGTCAAAAAACCAGTTGTACTGGATTTGCTTTTTGAAGAATTCCTCGTCAACTTTTAATTTGTTCTTTATGTCTTGTAGTTTCTTGGTTATTGCTGACGGGATTTACGACGTAGAGAAAATACACGTTGAAAACTTATATCTTCGGCAGAGCAGAATTCTACTATCTTGTGATAGTCTGCAAAGATTCTGTTCGGAGTGATATCTTGGCTTGTAACTAACAAGTACAAGATCAGTGCTTCAATGACGTACAGTTCGTCTTCCAACCAAGTTGTAGCAATGGGCTCTTCCGCTTTCGTTTCCATATAGCCTTTGTCTGTTTGCTTGACGTCTTGTTGAAGGTCTTGTTTTTGTCGCTTTCGTGGTGGCGGATCAAAGATGCCTTTTTCATTAGCTTTATGACCAAACGGATTCACGCACGAACGACAGGAACAGTTAACATTGCAGCTTCGCAAGGCACGAAAACACGGACAGCGTGATTTATAGTGTTTGCAGAATTCACTTTTCGCTGTCTTCCTGGCGGCTCCGCGACCACACGAACATCCCGTTTGATTTTGAGTGGGGAGATCTACCTCAACTGGCATTTGTGTGTCTGGCTCCTTGCCGGTTGTTTCAGTTACAGTTGAATTCGACTCTGTGCGATTGCCTTCAACTGCCAAGTCGTAGTGGCCGCTATCACTATGACTAAAAGCAAGGTATATCGGAACTTCAGATAGCACTCGTGTTCTGGGAATTACGTGAGTGATGGGATAATTTTCCATGGAGGTAAAAATAACCAGGGGTACTTGAAGGATATTGCTCATCGCCAGTGGAACACAGTTTCCTAATTCAGAATCATAATGGCCCGACTCAAGGAACTTTTGAGCTTCTGCGCCATATGAATCAGTGGTGCTTGTTATCAGAAATGGCTCGTAAACATGCCGATTAGGCCCCATAAATTCTTGCACAATCAACCGCCTAAGAACGTTGATTTTGTCCTTGTCAGGTATCTCTATGCTGATACCGATTGATTTCAAGTAAGTGGCTAAGTTGGAGTTATCTCTAGTAAGAAGAGAGCTCAAACTGAAAGAGATGCAATGTAGAAAACAGTCTCCATCCCCTGGCATCGACAACTGTTCAAAGCCAAATGCATTTAAAATGCTGGTTAACCTCTCCCTGCATTTTCCTGCGTCTGGTCTGGAGGAACTTGCATGCGATGAGAATAATAGAAGGCTGCGTCCTACGAACTGTGTCAGATTAACTTTCATCGTGGGTGCATCGCATTTCGCTTGCAAATCGTGAGCCAGGCTCTTCATGTACAGGGCATACTCTAAAACTCGATGATACGCGTCTTCCTCGCTGATCCTCACATTATCGTTGTCATCAATCCCATAGTCCCCGTCCTCACTACTGCTACCCGTTGACTCATTTTCACAGGCATCGACGTCAGTGCCATCTTCCGAGTCATCATCGCTAAAACCGCTTCCATTTTGAATTATTCCAGTACCAAATACTTCTTCCTGACTGACTGACAAGTCCTGGTAGTGGGTGACTGGGACCGAACTTGTGAATGGCACGATCCAACCTTGTCCGAAAACCGCCTTTTCGTTCCATCTGTATAGGCACGTTCCTATGCTTGCCACAGCTACTTTAACGCCAACTCTCCTTTTTTCTACGCTTTTTCGGAGGCTTTTGTGCATTGCTTCCTGTCTGCTTGTTCCTGCTTTAGGAGGAATATCTTCCAAGCAACCTTTCTTAATATGTTTTCTTAACTTGTCCAATTGGTTGTGGACATGCTGTGAAAGTACCTTTTCCCCTGCAAGTTCAACATTTTCCCAATTTTCCAGAAACCTATTTAAATTTGTCAACATCACTTGAGAAGGCGTTGGCTTCTTCGTTCTTTTTCGATATCGCCCGACTTCCGAAAGACTAAACGAAATGCATCAAGGCATTGTCTTCTTAATGGGTGTTTTTTTTAAATTTTACTAGCGATGCGTTGCACTGCATGAAAGAGATCAAGTTTAATTGGAATAACTCCAAATACTGCTTGAAGGAGTAATCTCCAGGCGCAGCAGTTGTCAATGGCAAATCCCTGCAAGGTAACTCCGCTATTTTGTAGCCTGTTCCGAATTCCCATGAGTAGGGTCTTCACCCTGGCAAAACCAGTGCCTCTCGTTAATTGCCACGCGATGACAATTCCATCCTCATTCATGACAGAAAACAAAGAGTCGAACTGGCGAATCCAATGGCCATTTTGCCATAATCCGACATTCCCAGCGACCTTGAATGTGTGGTCAGAAGAGAGCCAACCACCTGTGAACGATGACATGCGTGCATTGTAAAGTTTTTCTTTCGTGCAATAGTCATGAACAAAGCATTGGCGAATCAGTTTTCTGTTAGGGTTTAACTGTGAAATCTGCGGCATTGTCGTGTGACTCACGTTGATTGATGGTCTATCCTCTGAAATTCTCATACGTAACAGTGTTAAGGTCCTAATGCTTGCCTCGGCGTGATAACTATGCCACATCTGTGCTAAAAAGTGCTTCCACGTCCATGTACCTCATTCCTGACGCAGCATGAACGATTATTAATCTGTATAAACGTCGAGTAATCCCATTTTTGTGCAAAAGAAGGAAAGGGATCAGTTCTACCTGTCCAAACTTTTTCAGAATTTTAGGGTCATGACCGATTGTCCGATGATCATTTTTGCATGCATATACCCTACTTACCAGCAGAACAGGGCATTCTATATCTGCAAGCTGCCTAGGACTGTTGTGTTTCCAATCCTTTCCATCTTTCCAGCATCTAGGTTTCAGATCTTCACCACACTCTGGACAAGGTAAGTTTCCACGAAAATGCTGAAATAACGGATCCCAGATAATGACCCCAGGAAGAAACAGGGTTTCTCTAATGGCTTGGTCCCCAATTTCATGATGGTAATGAATGACGGTTGCTGTTGTTAGCTCTCCTTTCTCGTATCGCTCTATCATTTTTGCTATGGCTTTTACCAGGTTGGGGGATAACGGATTACCATTAGTTACCCTTGATAAGAATATCACCACCATGCATAGAAGTAGAATGCAGTGTGATTTTCTTAAAAGAACATCCATCCTGCCTGTAACGAAGAAATACTATTATTGTCGTTATTTAAGAGGTTGTAAACACAATAAGCTTACGTTTTTGGCATTCAATCACACTTTTTTTACCTTACTGTGGCTTGAAATTCTTTATAACATTTCTTATAAATCACATTATATTAAATCGTATTATTGTAAGTCCAGGTTTTGGATACTTTTGAACGTTTTTTTTACCGAGTAATTATCCCTGTTTGTAACCCGGCGTAAACCAAACCTCCCCGTGGGTCCCCCTGATACGTAATTTTTGTTACTTTTTATGAAAAATCGCCGCAAATTTGCATCACGATTTGAGGATGCGACTTGAGCGACAAAAATTGTATCGAATCGCCGCGATGAAAATCGCATGTGTATATATGTATCAAGTTAACAATAGCCTGTTCCAGGCGTTCAGATAGTGGGGAAATCGCGAATAGTTGCCCACCCAAGCGGCAGAACAGTTTCTTTCTAAACTAATCGTTTCAAAATATCTTTGTCAAGTTACTTCATTATTTTAAAACAAACTTATTAAAGTGCGGCGGCCAAACATTTCCCCAAAATCCGTAAAACCATACTGCGAAAACATGATAAATAACAACGTTTGGAATAAAATGAGCTCATCTCGTTTGTTTTCAAAGTTTCATGTTGGAATCTTTAAGTCGAAAAGAGAGCGTAACTACGAGAAATATACTGTACTTTAAAGTTAAAGAATAAAAATCAAAGAGGCGACTCAGTGTATTCGCAGACTATACCTTATTCTGTTTGCTTTACTTCTGGCATGGGTTACTGTAATTTTACGGTTCTTCCGATACTGCTGAAACGTTCTGAAAAGAAGTAAACAATAATTATAAAGAAGAGAACTCAAAAGTAAAGTTTAGGAGAAAATAAATGTGTGGCAACCATGAAATACTAACAGTTTGATAACTTACCGCTATGAAGTAACTCTTAAGATCCGATAGACGATTAGTGTAACAGCTCGAAAACAGCACTTATCTTGACCTATCACGCGACTATTTGTCGATCCGCAAGAGAACTTAGTTTAAAATGTATCACTTGCCTCGTTGCTAACTGAAACTTGAAACGTCAATTAGCATGTATGTATTGTCTAAATGAAGAAACTTAAAAGGTGTGATAATCGAGAAACATTTTTTTTACCTTGCACCTTTATTGGTTTATCGAAACAAAGGAGCTATTTGATACGCTTTAGTGGGGATGGGGTAAGGACTGAACATAAATCGCCTCTACCACCCTACGTAGAGAGTAATTTTGACCTCGGGGCCCAAGGCCCCCAACGGTCGTGAGAGAGGTCAAAATCACAGGGACGCGTACACTTTAAAAACTGAAACTGTACTAACACTCTTTAACAGTCAGGCGAAGACAACATTATGTTTTGCAGAAGCGACAAATGCGCTCTCGTTCTTACTGTATTTTTCCCATTGCTGCATGTGAACTCACGTATAGTTAACCCTATAACCTGATCCGGTCACAGATCACACTGAGAAATATTATCCCGAATTCAAAGGTTGCAGGACATGTAATGGGATTTACTAGAAAATACAATTATCCTCACACCTGGGCCTTTACATTCCACTCTCCTCGATGTTACAAAAAAACCCTTTTTTTCGGTTATTGGTAATTTGTATGCGAAAACGTTTAACCTCGACCCTCGCCAAAAAGATAGACGCGATAGTTTTGGTCAGAGTTTTGGTTTAAGCTGCGAGCCTCAGGGATCTCAAGGAATAACATACCGCCTGTCCGGAAACATGTTTTCTCTCCCACACATTTATTGAGTGAGACGGTGAGAAATTGTAAACATGAGACACGACTACAATGCCAGCATTGTCCGATAACACAGTCTACCCCCGGGTTGACCGATAGCCACTCTAGTCACCCATTTGCGGCAAATGAAGAATGTTCGATTTATACCTTGATCGCCGCTAAAACAGCAAGGACTACAACTCAAGGAATTTTTTTCTGCAGAGCGACTGAATCAGTATAATGAAAGTATATAAATGTTGAATTTCCATTGGAAGGTGATTTGATATCACGGTGTCTGGCACACCTTCTTAAACGAACAATGAACAATAAACAATGCCGTGAAGTCATTAAAAAAAAAAAGTTGCAGCCGCAATATTCGTCTCACTTTGAGCAGTCCAAGCTTGCATCGTTCGCTCATCATCAGTCGTTTACAAGCAACTTCAGTGTTGTCTAACATTCTGAAACAAAGAGACTAGACCATAAGGTAAGACCTTCTTGATATTGATCAATGTTAAAACAAGATATATTTAAAGGAGCAATGTCACGGTGATTTTGCTGTTTTTGCCCAAAACTATTAAGAGAGCCTTTTTCCCGGACCGCGTAAGAGGTGGCACATGATGGAAAATGTCCCTAACCTCATGTTCAGCTCAAAGATAGCCCATGGTGAGTCAATAATCGTGGTGGCATTTTTTGCTCAAATCTATTTTTCATTTCTAGAAAATCTCAAAAACTCTAACGGCCCCCATCGCCATGAAATAGCCGAAATAAAAGCGCGAATATGAGCACAATACAGGTTCTCGTTAAAAGCGCACAGGAAGCAAGGCTTTCCCAAATTTGAACAATTGTATAGGAGGCATGCATTAACAAATGATTTCAGCTAAGAACAGGTTTTGTAGTTACATTTCTGAATTAACGGTGAGTGTTTGAAAATCGCTCATATTTCATTATTTAAAAATTGCATTTTGGAGCAGTTTTTCAAGAAATATTTTCCCTACGCGGTATAATTCAGAATCGCTTTAAATTGCGGTTTTGGAAACGTGGATATAGTGCTCTTTTAAGGAAACTAAACAACGTTTGGGCCTCTTAACTACTGCAAAGAAAAAGCTCGTGTCATTTCGAGGAAATCACAACATCGACTTGTCAACAACCGCAAATAATCGAATTACGCTTGCTGTTGTTGAAGCCAAAATTCCGACGAAAAGTTATTGCTTTACACCATACTAGACCAGCGACATAGTGTAACGAGATTACCTTGCATAGCCAGTGGTTGAAGGTTGGTTTTATGCCTATTTTCGTTTCAAATGGCCATCTTCGCCGAGCAGGATTTATCAAATCACGCAATCACTAAATGTTGCCAAGGCACTTTCTGAACCATCGTATTTCTCGAAATGACACGGGCTTTTTCTTTGCAGTAGTTAAGAGGCCCAAACGTTCTTTAGTTTCCTTGAAAAGAGCACTATATCCACGTTTCCAAAACCGCAATTTAAAGTGATTCTGAGTTATACCGCAAAGGAAAAATATTACTTGAAAAACTGCTCCAAAATAAGTACCAAACCTGTTATTAGCTCAAATCATTTGTAAATGCCTCCTAGACAATTGCTCAAATTTGGGAAAACCTTGCTGCCCTGTGCGCTTTTAACGAGATCAGTTCTTGTACTCACATTCATCGCTTTCATTTCAACCATTTCATGGCGATGGGGGTCCGTTACAGGTTTTTTAGAATTTTCTTGAAATCAAAAATAGATTTGCACACAAAAAATTCTACCACATTAACTGACTTTCCATAGGGTATCTCTGAACTGAATATGACGGTAGGGAATTTTCGAAGCATGTGCCACATTTTTCGGATCTCACGCGGTCTCCAATATTAGACTAAAAGTAACTTTTCTCCCACACAAAATGCTCCTGGAATACCGAGGGGGAAATATCAAGTGATTCCGCGAAGGGAGAAAAAGCCATATTTAGCCGTTTTTATACTATTTTTCAACACTAGGGAAGAT